GCGATATTTAATGCGCATCTTGTCAGTAAAGCCGGTTCTGTAATCAGCGGTAAATCTCCATCACCTGTGGGCTTTCACATTGAGCAGCATTAACTACACAGAGCCGTTGTTCACTGACGAGCTGCACAAAAAATCACGCGAATATGAACGTGGTTTTGCGCAACTCGTCAGTGAACAACGGCTCTGTGTAGTTAATGCTGCTCAATGTGAAAGCCCACAGGTGATGGAGATTTACCGCTGATTACAGAACCGGCTTTCTGACAAGATGCGCATTAAATATCGCATGCGATTTATCGTGCAGCCCTAACCGAAAGTCACGCAGAGAACACGCGATCATGCAGGTCACATGCACACTTCACACGATCTCACAACTGGATTCGACTAAGTTTGCAAGGTTTGTGAAATTAAATTTTCATTAGCCATTCAAAGATTTGTTTAAATGATGTAAATGCGTATTTGCTGAATGCTGACGGCAAACGAAAAAGTATTATAATATTTGCCTTTCTATTACTAATAATATAAAAGCAATCGTTATAATACTTTTTGTATACATTTTAATTCCTTTGTTTAACAGTTCTATCGGATTATTAGACAGACTTCTATCCGTATTAGACAGAACTGTTAAGGACGACGGCGAACAAGAGGGAGAATGTGAGCACTGTGTGCTCAGGCGCTGCCGCTCTCAGCGCCATCAAAATAAAAGTCTGGCGCGCCGTCAAAATAAAAGTCCCGACTCGAACGCATCGGCCAAACAAAAAAACTTAGCAGCCGATGCCGATATTTGAAAAATGCCAAATATCGGCCGATATATCGGCCTTGGCGATATATCGGTCGACTACTAGTCATATATTTGAATGTTGAGCAGCAAGCTCATTGGCTACCGATTCAGGTGAGAACCAATCAGCTGTGCCATGCGATAATGATGTCATTAGGTCAGATTGAGTTAGACCTATCGGACTGCGCCATCTAGAGTTTCATGCCAGAACTCTGTATATATAAAAGGGAAAAGAGTATTATTGTAGATACTGAAGTTTTAGCACTTCAATAATCTTAAAGTCTTCGGTGTAGCTTTTTTTAAAACTACAAATATTGCAACAATATGTGGTCATGAAAATAAGAAAAAATATTGTAAAAAGTTTTTAATAGTTTTGAAATACAGTATGTCAAGCCACAGAACAGGGCCTAAACACAAGGCATTGCTACAACATGGATGACGAAAATAAGACAAGGCTTATTGCCAGAATTAGCTCTTGAGGTCAGGTGCCAAATGGCAGAAAACCTCTAATAAATTAGCACAAAATATACTCACTTTACACAATCAGCCATTTTCTGCAAAATCCACACAACAACATCCAAAAAGGGACTTTACGGTTCACTACCTTCATAATCTATTGTAAACAGAGAGCGTAATTCCTGCAGTACACACAACAAACACTATGAGGTCTGCGCAACATACACAAATCAAAACTATTTGAAAACAACATTCATCTTACAGTATCTCTTTGCACTTTAGTACTCTGTGGTTTTATAAGTTGCTGCACACTCCAAGCAATATTGGACCCCTAACCCCAAGTCCTTCACCAGTCACCACAGACCAAGCAGCAGGCCAGGACAGATTCTATCATTAGATAATGCTTTTTTAATCTCCACCTGTTGCCAAAAACTCCATCCCCTACTGTACAACTGCAACTCACCAGACATGAGTCAAAGTGGCCCGAACAAGGATTTTATCAAAGCACTTAACAAGGACTTCAGTCTATCCTTACTCTTGCATTAATCACCTACAGGCAGTTTGTCCCTCAACTCTACAAACAGATAAAGCAGAATTACGAAAATCAGTTGTTTTGTCATTTAAAATTTGAGGAGTTTATAAACTACCGTTACTTGATATCTAAATGTCCCTTCAAAGTCTCTTATGCTCACCAAGGCTGCATTTATTTGATCAATTGTACAATAAAAACAGTAATATTGTGAAATATTACTACAATTTTAAAATAACCTTTCTATTTTAAAATGTGATTTATTCCTGTGATGGCAAAGTTACATTTTTTAGCAGCCTAATGTGCATGTTTGGTGCAAATTTTTCATTATTATCAATGTAAAAAACTAAAGTTTTTATTTGAAATAGAAATCTTTTGTAACATTACAAATGTCTTTACTGTCCCTTTGAACAGATAATGCATCTTTGCCGAATAAACGTTTTCATTTGCGGTATATTTGCTGTGTATATTAATAGCAATACTAGAGTTACATATTGACACTGGAATGGTTTTAGCATGTTGCTATATTGTTTTGGGCAGTTGCTAAGGTACTGGCACAAGACAAAAGAGCCCACCTCTATGCATTTATTTTGGTCACTAGAGCCCTTCTCCAACTTAAAACAAAGAGATTTTTGCCTGAAAACTAACTGCACACATCTGCCTTAGCAAACACAGCTACAGAGAGTCTTTTCTTTTTAAAATGGGGCCGCAGAAAGACCATTACCAAACAGAACATGATCATGCCTCCAAGACACACATGACACCATACAGTTGGTTCAAAGAACAGTTACATGATGTGTCCCATGTGTTGCGTAATTGTGCGAGCTCAAGGGCTTTGCACCAATATGTAAAGCTCTTCCCTATGTTCAAAACACAAGCTCTTCAGCACTTCAAATTGAATAGATGGAACAAAGGGTTGCAGACAGCTTCGTCCGTAGCAGACCAGCTCATAATGTGCGACTGGCCACTCCAACGGATCCTGTCAGGCAAAAAACAAAACAAAAAAAAACGCACATACACCAACACAAAGCACCACCCACACCCCGAACTACTTCACAAACAGGGCTGTTACGTCATAATCTGGAACATGGTTCATGCTTTGACACAGAAACTTGGCTTACTTAACTGCAGCTGATCACCTGACTTGTAGCTTCCAGCATGGTTCCAGCATCTCTATTGCTGAAAAAGCCAGTGAATGTACTGCCAACACAGTCTGACACACACACACACACACACACACACACACACACACAGAGAGCCTTGACAACTTTCCACTCACTTCTCAAAACATCTCAAGACTCTATGGTAATATAAATATTATTACCCTAATACGCTAGTGAAAACGGAGATTTGAAACGATTATCTGACAGTGAGGGGGAGGCGAAAATGAGTGGGATTCCTTTCGAGGGTGTAAATACATTCTGTGTGATGGTTTAACAGTGCAAAACTAAAATAAAAAGAAGTGCTTTAGGTTACGTACTTCTCTGGCAATGCTTCTGGTTCCAGCAGCGCTCGCTAAAGTCTCCGTTGATGGTGGTGAGGGGGCAGGTGGTTTTGCCCTGAATCGTGCCGGGGCAGACATCTCCGCACTCTCGATCATTCTTATTGGCCACGATGTAGTTGTCCTCCACCGAGTCAAGGATCATGGACCAGTCAAGGGTGGAGAGGTAGCAGAGGTCGGGGTTATATATAATTTATATTGACAAATCTGACAATTTGTACATATATATACAATTTAGTGTGACAAATCTGACACACACACACACACACACACACACACAGTCTGACACACACACACACACACACACACACACACACACACAGAGAGCCTTGACAACTTTCCACTCACTTCTCAAAACATCTCAAGACTCTATGGTAATATAAATATTATTACCCTAATACGCTAGTGAAAACGGAGATTTGAAACGATTATCTGACAGTGAGGGGGAGGCGAAAATGAGTGGGATTCCTTTCGAGGGTGTAAATACATTCTGTGTGATGGTTTAACAGTGCAAAACTAAAATAAAAAGAAGTGCTTTAGGTTACGTACTTCTCTGGCAATGCTTCTGGTTCCAGCAGCGCTCGCTAAAGTCTCCGTTGATGGTGGTGAGGGGGCAGGTGGTTTTGCCCTGAATCGTGCCGGGGCAGACATCTCCGCACTCTCGATCATTCTTATTGGCCACGATGTAGTTGTCCTCCACCGAGTCAAGGATCATGGACCAGTCAAGGGTGGAGAGGTAGCAGAGGTCGGGGTTCTTCTCTACGCGCACGGCTCCACGGGTGATGTTCATCAGGCTGTGAAGGCCGATCTCTTTCAGCTGCAGCATCTCGAACAACACGAGTGCGTAGTTGAAGAAGAGATTATTACCGCGCACCACTGTGAGGTTGGGAAACAGGTCACTGAGGCTCTCCAGGCCGTAAACGCGGAACAGGAGCAGGTAGTCCGTCACTACCGTCAGCTTGGGGTAACTCAGACCACGGAAATCCTCCGGTTTGGTCGTGAACATGAGCAGAATCTTTAAGTGGCCTTCGATCACGGTGCAGTTCTCCAGCACCCGCAGGTTGGTCACATTATTTCTGATGTCTTTACTTGAGCAAACTGCGACAACAAAAAGACAGCAAAATGTTAATTGGTTTAGTGAAAATCTACAGCAAAAATTTTGAATAAATTGCTTGCAGATGATGACCTTCAATTTAACAGGATTTTATTCTGTAACAAGCATAAACAAACAAAATGCAAAAATGTATTCCATAGAAACCTATAAAGAAGATCATTTACAGAGCCATAAAAAAAATTTCATTAGACATTTTTCTGATAGTTTTCTGTCGCACTGTTCAATTTTCTTCCTTTGAGGTGATGCCTTCCATATGACATAACATGTTTAATGAAGATAATAAAACCTCTTCCTGCAGCTTTTCACATTCCAGTGCTGCTTTACTAGTGTATGAGATGGAGAGATGCTTCTCAAATGTACTTCAGTCCGGAAGTTTTGGAGCATGAGGAAGCTGAAACACACAGTATAACCCTACTGACATGAGTGTCCTCTCAGACACACACAATGTGCAATACGTCTACACTTACACTTATTTTTAGCACCATACTCCTAATACACTATGTACAAATGGGGAGCCAGGCACTTGAAAAGAGTATTGTTGAAGCACATGAATGAAACGGTGGTACAGTGAGATGAGATGTGTCCTGGCTGACTGGGTGTAGTCATTCACTCTCTGAATGACGCTCTAGCCCAATTTAAACCCTGAACATCGAACAATGAGTAATGTAAGTTACAATCATGAGATGAAAAAGATTTAATTTAATTTGTTTTAAAGACAAAAACAAAATTATTTAAAGGGATAGTTCACCCAAAAATGAAAATTCTGAAATATCAGAAATATCTTAATTTGTGTTCCGAAGATAAACAAAGGTCTTACAGGATTGGAACGACATGAGGGTGAGCAATTAATGACATAACTTTCATTTTTGGGTGAAATATCCCTTTAATGCATTTACATTTAAATTCAATTATTTAATACTTTAATATTCTCAAAGCAAGTTTTAGGAAGGTGTTATTTTATACAGGTTACATGTTATTTGTTTTATTTAAGTTAAAATAGGTAAACAATCTTTTTTCATTTGTAAAAGATCAAAACATAAATCATAACTTTAACAAGTTAACCTTAAAGTAAACTACAGGTTTAAAATATGCTTTAAGAAGAAGAAAAGAAAATGTCTAAAGAAGAAAAGGCATGTAATTGAGGTAGTGATTTATGGCAACGCTGATTTCTCTGCAGCTAGTCCTGCTTTGTTACAGACCTGAAAAGTATATTTCAACCTGACATATTGATTGAAATCTGCATTCAATCTGCATAAGTGTGTTTGCCTTTGCAGCCACCATTAAGAGATCAAAATAAATCTTGCGTCAGAAGATATATAATGCAAATGTTCTTTTTTTTTTTTTATTAATAAATAAATGCGGCAAACGGCCAAACCACACAAAGTACTCACTTTCCTCTGAAACAAGACAAACAATAGCAAACATTTCAACCAGGACACAGGAAGGAACTGTAAGTGTGACCATATAAAAGCAGAAGTCTTAAAAAGAGGCGTGTCTCCACACCTCTTGTCCCACTTCCTCTTTTGAGGTTTTGCTGGTTTGTCATCATCTGCTTTTTGGGTTCTTCACATCAAACCGAATTGTAATTGAACAATATGGCTTTGTGAGAAAGCGACTTACAAATGATATACATTCAATAATATTAATATCAAACAATCTCATTCTCATTTTTACTTTAACAATCATGGATTTCCTCCAGACATGCTTTATGCTTCATATCTTTATACTTTAAAACATATTACAGCATTTTTAGGCACATTGTGGACATAAATGTGACACCATTGTGACACTTCCAACCACCTCATCCTGTGAGAAAAGACTGCAACAAAGGTTACAGGCAATAAATTTAGCATACAGTAGATTTTGGGCAACTAATAACAGTGAGCAGAGAAGAGAGTCGGGATGATTTAAAGATGCACCTGCACACCAGCTGCTGTGGTGTCCTCAAACTAGGTGAGAAGAACAATATTACTGGGTTTTCCACCACTAAATTGTTCTTGAAATCAGAAGAAAAGCGGAGTCTAACAGTTGTTGCACAAGAATTTGCATGAGCGGATTTGAGTCTGCAACTAGCTGAAACTATTTTAAAACTTGTGAGAGACAAACTGCATGTGAAATCTCAATAACTCAAAGGTTAAGATTTGATATAAGAAAATTTTAGCATTAAATTGTATAATTTTTTGGGACAAAATGACCCATAAATGTGCTTTACTAAATTAAAATTAAAATAAACATGCTGTGTAAATTTCATAATAATATGAATAGCTGAATCAGTAACAGATTCTTAAAGCTGCAGTCCGTAATTTTTGCCTCTTTGTCGCCATCGCTGTTTGAAAACCTGGAATTGCAGCTGGGCGCGGAATTATCTAGCTTGCGTGGGTTGTGAATCGGCACGGCTCCAGTGCGGATGAATCTAATGTTCTGAAGAGTATGTGCGGCAGTCAGTCACCGCACCAGCGTGGATATTTACTGTACTTCGCAATCACAGATTCTAGCCTACGTCTTGGAATATGACCCAAATAAGAATTTTCACCGTATATTGCCATCTGAACAAGTAACACGTCTGCCACGTTTGTTCTGACCACCTGAGGAAAAAACCATTACCATAAATCTCGCTACCAATGGTGATTAAATCTAAAGATTGGTTAGCTCATAATATCACATCAAACCATTCAAATTATTATTATTGTTATACTTCATTCTCAAATGATTAATGTTAACAACATCAGCATTGGTGACTATGAGTATAGTGTGTGTATTAGCATGTAGATTTCAATTTCTGCACAGTCTAATCTAATTGTCATACTCTTCGAATTTCATATTAAGAAATTCTTTTAACCCAACAAGCAAATTATGCTCCCTTCAAACTGGTTTTCTTTAAAATACAAATCTTTGTAATCCCAAACTATCTGTAATCAGAAGCACATTTGTAACTGGAATATAATTTCATTTCATTCACATGTGTTTCATAAACACATAATCCTTTCTGGATTAAAATCCACCATCAAAATTATACATTTAATTATTCTGGCTGCTGTGAGAAAAGGCTACAAACGATCCGTCACCTTCAGGATCCTGACATGCGATAGCCTAGTAGCCGGGACAACTTCTTTATGTTTACAGACGTGACGTAATGACGCAGTGCCATGCTCGAATTTCCCGCGAAAACCTACCC